ACCCACCCAGTGTCCCACATACGCACCGACAGTCCTCCAAAAAGATAACCAACAGGCCACAACCCCAAGAGGCATCAAACCAAACCGCTCGAGACCAAGGAAAAAGAACACTGCATCACACCAGTGTCTGGCAGCTAAACAACTGCTTCGTAGCAGTATGCTCACGATCCAAGACAGCATAGGCTCAAAATTCATACATAATAAATCCGCTCGTGCGCTATCGCCTATGGAGGTAGACGGCCTAAGCCAGGGCCTAGCATTCATCCCAACGCCTGCTGCACCCACTGAACAGAGCATCGTGGCTGCGCTCGCACGTTTTTCGAGAAGTGTGAGATTGACATCACACTTCAAGTCCTGCAAACCAACGCCTCGCTTTCGTATTCGAAACCCTGGTTACCAGCCCAAGCGTGCGTCGGCTGATGTTGAGAGCTACATCGCAGAGGTGGAAGGTAAAATAGTTAAGAACCTTCCGCTAATGACGCGACAAGCCCGCAAAAACATGAGTGAGAGCACGCTACGGAGCCTGAAGAAACTAGGTAAGGATCCGAATATCATCATCAAGCCAGCAGATAAGAACCTAGGATTGGCCCTTATGGACACTTCCTGGTATCGAGCAGAGGCCCACAGGCAACTCTCAGATACCAAAACATACAGTGAGGTCAAGACGGTACCCTTGGATCATCTCTTCGAGCGACTAGACGCCTGGTGCACGGAATACGCTCACAGGTTCCCTAAGGAAACCGTGGAGTATATTCTGGAACCAAGAGTCGAGGATGCGAGGAATGAGTCTGAGCATTTCAGAGTATGCAAATTTTATTTGCTACCTAAGCTGCATAAGACGCCAGTTAAAGGGAGGCCAATATGTTCGTCGACACTCTGGATCTTTGAGCATGCCAGCCAGGTCCTGGATCATTACATGCGTCCCCTGCTGGCGCTAGCGCCGGCACATCTACCTGACTCTATCTCCCTTTTGCACACGATGCGCACACTTCGCATACCCGCACATGCCATTTTCCTTACATACGATGTCGAAAGCCTGTACCCCTCCATACCAATGAAGCAGGGCTTGGAAGCCATAGAAGAAACAACCTGCCTCTAGACCCCCCCCTCAGGGGCCTAGGGAAGAGCCTGTAGCCGGCTCCTTGGTATGCCAGGGATGCTGGGCTGTCGAGAGCTGAGCTTGAACTCACCGCCGGGGTGTACCCGCCGCACCCCCTTAAAAGGGTGTAGTGCCCACTGCAAGGCAGGCCCATTGCCTATTACTGCTTTACACACAGCTTCGTTAGAACTCCTGGGCATTTTTTAGTGTGATAGCCCCACCCACCCCATCGCAGAACAGCCAACACCCCCTATTGGCAACGGGGCATGGACCAGAAAACGCCGCAAATCAGAGGTACGCACTCGACTCCCCACACTCTTGCCACTCACACGCAAACCCACCAAGCTCGCATTCACAGAGAGCGGCACCATGCAGCCCTGAAAATTTCCATCCAAGCACCGCTAGCACCCAACAGTCAGTACCACTCACTACCCCCTTGCTCTCTCACGACGCACCCACCCAGTGTCCCACATACGCACCGACAGTCCTCCAAAAAGATAACCAACAGGCCACAACCCCAAGAGGCATCAAACCAAACCGCTCGAGACCAAGGAAAAAGAACACTGCATCACACCAGTGTCTGGCAGCTAAACAACTGCTTCGTAGCAGTATGCTCACGATCCAAGACAGCATAGGCTCAAAATTCATACATAATAAATCCGCTCGTGCGCTATCGCCTATGGAGGTAGACGGCCTAAGCCAGGGCCTAGCATTCATCCCAACGCCTGCTGCACCCACTGAACAGAGCATCGTGGCTGCGCTCGCACGTTTTTCGAGAAGTGTGAGATTGACATCACACTTCAAGTCCTGCAAACCAACGCCTCGCTTTCGTATTCGAAACCCTGGTTACCAGCCCAAGCGTGCGTCGGCTGATGTTGAGAGCTACATCGCAGAGGTGGAAGGTAAAATAGTTAAGAACCTTCCGCTAATGACGCGACAAGCCCGCAAAAACATGAGTGAGAGCACGCTACGGAGCCTGAAGAAACTAGGTAAGGATCCGAATATCATCATCAAGCCAGCAGATAAGAACCTAGGATTGGCCCTTATGGACACTTCCTGGTATCGAGCAGAGGCCCACAGGCAACTCTCAGATACCAAAACATACAGTGAGGTCAAGACGGTACCCTTGGATCATCTCTTCGAGCGACTAGACGCCTGGTGCACGGAATACGCTCACAGGTTCCCTAAGGAAACCGTGGAGTATATTCTGGAACCAAGAGTCGAGGATGCGAGGAATGAGTCTGAGCATTTCAGAGTATGCAAATTTTATTTGCTACCTAAGCTGCATAAGACGCCAGTTAAAGGGAGGCCAATATGTTCGTCGACACTCTGGATCTTTGAGCATGCCAGCCAGGTCCTGGATCATTACATGCGTCCCCTGCTGGCGCTAGCGCCGGCACATCTACCTGACTCTATCTCCCTTTTGCACACGATGCGCACACTTCGCATACCCGCACATGCCATTTTCCTTACATACGATGTCGAAAGCCTGTACCCCTCCATACCAATGAAGCAGGGCTTGGAAGCCATAGAAGAAACAACAAGACGCTTTATACTGGCACAGGGTCTCCACCTGTACTCCGATCTAGGTATTTCAGCACAGCTGAGAGCCTGCACCGAGCTGCTCCGGCTAGTCATGACTGAAAACCACCTTCAGTTCGACGGCCGGTTCTACCGACAGATCAGAGGGACGGCAATGGGAACACCGGTGGCTGTTATATACGCCGTGTTGTTTATGAGTTGGCTAGAGGGTTTAGGGGCCTCCCCCCCTCAGGGGCCTAGGGAAGAGCCTGTAGCCGGCTCCTTGGTATGCCAGGGATGCTGGGCTGTCGAGAGCTGAGCTTGAACTCACCGCCGGGGTGTACCCGCCGCACCCCCTTAAAAGGGTGTAGTGCCCACTGCAAGGCAGGCCCATTGCCTATTACTGCTTTACACACAGCTTCGTTAGAACTCCTGGGCTAAGTGCCTGTTGAGGGGAGTGCGAAACTGGGTTGGGTGACCTCCTGGGCAAAAATCCGGGAGGGGGCAGTAATGAAAAGGAGGGCGAGTGAAGCTCGAAATGGCTAAGCTGAGGCGTGCCTATAGCCTCTAGGGTCCCGGATACTCTTCCGGGGGGAGCTGCAGCTCTGGCTGTTTGCATTAAATAAACCCTAAACCTGCCTCTAGACCCCCCCCTCAGGGGCCTAGGGAAGAGCCTGTAGCCGGCTCCTTGGTATGCCAGGGATGCTGGGCTGTCGAGAGCTGAGCTTGAACTCACCGCCGGGGTGTACCCGCCGCACCCCCTTAAAAGGGTGTAGTGCCCACTGCAAGGCAGGCCCATTGCCTATTACTGCTTTACACACAGCTTCGTTAGAACTCCTGGGCATTTTTTAGTGTGATAGCCCCACCCACCCCATCGCAGAACAGCCAACACCCCCTATTGGCAACGGGGCATGGACCAGAAAACGCCGCAAATCAGAGGTACGCACTCGACTCCCCACACTCTTGCCACTCACACGCAAACCCACCAAGCTCGCATTCACAGAGAGCGGCACCATGCAGCCCTGAAAATTTCCATCCAAGCACCGCTAGCACCCAACAGTCAGTACCACTCACTACCCCCTTGCTCTCTCACGACGCACCCACCCAGTGTCCCACATACGCACCGACAGTCCTCCAAAAAGATAACCAACAGGCCACAACCCCAAGAGGCATCAAACCAAACCGCTCGAGACCAAGGAAAAAGAACACTGCATCACACCAGTGTCTGGCAGCTAAACAACTGCTTCGTAGCAGTATGCTCACGATCCAAGACAGCATAGGCTCAAAATTCATACATAATAAATCCGCTCGTGCGCTATCGCCTATGGAGGTAGACGGCCTAAGCCAGGGCCTAGCATTCATCCCAACGCCTGCTGCACCCACTGAACAGAGCATCGTGGCTGCGCTCGCACGTTTTTCGAGAAGTGTGAGATTGACATCACACTTCAAGTCCTGCAAACCAACGCCTCGCTTTCGTATTCGAAACCCTGGTTACCAGCCCAAGCGTGCGTCGGCTGATGTTGAGAGCTACATCGCAGAGGTGGAAGGTAAAATAGTTAAGAACCTTCCGCTAATGACGCGACAAGCCCGCAAAAACATGAGTGAGAGCACGCTACGGAGCCTGAAGAAACTAGGTAAGGATCCGAATATCATCATCAAGCCAGCAGATAAGAACCTAGGATTGGCCCTTATGGACACTTCCTGGTATCGAGCAGAGGCCCACAGGCAACTCTCAGATACCAAAACATACAGTGAGGTCAAGACGGTACCCTTGGATCATCTCTTCGAGCGACTAGACGCCTGGTGCACGGAATACGCTCACAGGTTCCCTAAGGAAACCGTGGAGTATATTCTGGAACCAAGAGTCGAGGATGCGAGGAATGAGTCTGAGCATTTCAGAGTATGCAAATTTTATTTGCTACCTAAGCTGCATAAGACGCCAGTTAAAGGGAGGCCAATATGTTCGTCGACACTCTGGATCTTTGAGCATGCCAGCCAGGTCCTGGATCATTACATGCGTCCCCTGCTGGCGCTAGCGCCGGCACATCTACCTGACTCTATCTCCCTTTTGCACACGATGCGCACACTTCGCATACCCGCACATGCCATTTTCCTTACATACGATGTCGAAAGCCTGTACCCCTCCATACCAATGAAGCAGGGCTTGGAAGCCATAGAAGAAACAACAAGACGCTTTATACTGGCACAGGGTCTCCACCTGTACTCCGATCTAGGTATTTCAGCACAGCTGAGAGCCTGCACCGAGCTGCTCCGGCTAGTCATGACTGAAAACCACCTTCAGTTCGACGGCCGGTTCTACCGACAGATCAGAGGGACGGCAATGGGAACACCGGTGGCTGTTATATACGCCGTGTTGTTTATGAGTTGGCTAGACACTCGAATGGAGGAGCTACACCCGGCCCTGTGTGAACATGTGCTGCTGCACAAGCGGTACATCGACGATGGGGTTGTGGTCTGGACGGGCTCGCTCGCGGACCTACACAGATGGATTGAGGGGTACAACAACCTACTAGAGGGCATCTCCATCACGACTGAGATCAGCACGACCACATTCACACTCCTCGACATCACCTTCCGGAAAGGTACGCTGTGGGAGACGACCGGGAAGGAAAATGTGCAAGGGGGGTTCTTGGACACCTCGGTGTACCAAAAACCTCTCAATGCGTATCAGTACTTTCCGTTCCGATCGGCACACCCTCGACACTGCAAGCGGGGCTTCATTATTGGTGAGCTATATCGCTACCTCTTGAGGGAGTCTTCTGAGGATGGCTTTCAGCAGATGAAGTCCCGTTTTGCAGCTCGGTTACAAGCACGCGGGTACCACGCTACCTTTATCGACAAGGTCTTCAGCGAGGTCACGTACGCCGACAGAGCTACACTGCTGCAGAAGTCGGAGAAAGGTAAGCAAAAGGACAGTCGAGTGCTACCATTCGTGCTCGAGTACCACCCGAGTCTAGAGCACCCCGCCCTGAGGTCTATTCTCCGCTCGGAGTCGAGCGAGGAGACCCTCAAAACTCTATGTCCAACGCCACCTTTCTTCTGTTTCAAAGCGGCACCCAAACTCCGAAGCATGCTTGTACGCGCCGCTTTCACGAGCACGACGACCGCAGGTATGTCAGAGAGTAGCACCTCTTGAGCACGACCGGCACACCCTCGCTATCACAGACATCACTATCACTCGACATGCACATCATCCTCACCAAACACGCACGCTTCAGAATACAAAAAAAAACGATCGGGGGGGCTGCGCCACCCCGAACCCCCCCCCCCCCCCCCCACCCCCCCCCCCCCCCCCCCCCCCCCCGCTTTAAGTGACCCCATCCGCATACACGAGTATCAATACCACCGCGTGCTGTAGCTATACTATGGCTACAGCATTGCCTGCAGATACGGCCTACGCTGCAGGCTACACCTGCCTTGGCGGTGCCTCTGCTGCTCTGGTCGCATGTGTCTCTGCCGCTATCCCCCAGGCTGGGAATTTGTCTCGCCACAGTCGATGACGCTACAGTAAGTATTGCTGCCTTGTTGTTCATGTAGCCCCGAAACCCTGCCCCGATGCTCGTCTCATCCCCCCTCTCCCTCCATTCCTCCCCCACCCCCCATTTGACCCCACGCAGGTTGCCAGGATACTAATGACCTTCCTGTGTTCTCTGTGTTCCCCCCCCATGCATATCACCACTGCACACCAGCACTACCACAACGACCATCACTGCACACCAATACGCTCACATCTGCATTCATAAAGCCGCTCACCCCAATTCGACTGAGACCTTGTTCGCATGCGACACTCATGCCACACTCATGGCATCGTTGCATATCATGCGTCGCTGGTGCACAGTCATATGTCGGGATGTACAGGCACATGGACAGACACGACAGCACACTGCACGGACCACGTCACGCTTGCGCGCACCTAGGCGGGTTGTGACTACCGAGCACAATTACCTTTACCCTGTGTTTTTCCTCCTATCCCCCCTTCTAGCACCCTTCTCGCTGTACGCCCCTTTCGCACCCACCGATTTCCATATTTGACATATGCGCAGGTGCTACATTCCCAAGAACTCACTGCATTAATTTTGCCGACAAGAAATGGTTACTTTCAGTTTTATCTGCACCATATGATGCCATAAAATTGTTAGTTTCAATTTTCTAAGTTGGTATTTTAGTGTAGCAGCTACTACAGGGGATAGCCCTTCCCTCCCAACTCTCTCTTTCATTTCTTAGGTTAGGATTTCGACACTCTGGGGTTTGTTAGCACTGATGATGGCCTTACTGGCCGAAATGCATTTGCGTTTTTTCAGTCCCCAAGCCCCAGGCACGTTTTCCTAGCTTAAAATAGAGAGAAGCAGCATAGGCTCAAAATTCATACATAATAAATCCGCTCGTGCGCTATCGCCTATGGAGGTAGACGGCCTAAGCCAGGGCCTAGCATTCATCCCAACGCCTGCTGCACCCACTGAACAGAGCATCGTGGCTGCGCTCGCACGTTTTTCGAGAAGTGTGAGATTGACATCACACTTCAAGTCCTGCAAACCAACGCCTCGCTTTCGTATTCGAAACCCTGGTTACCAGCCCAAGCGTGCGTCGGCTGATGTTGAGAGCTACATCGCAGAGGTGGAAGGTAAAATAGTTAAGAACCTTCCGCTAATGACGCGACAAGCCCGCAAAAACATGAGTGAGAGCACGCTACGGAGCCTGAAGAAACTAGGTAAGGATCCGAATATCATCATCAAGCCAGCAGATAAGAACCTAGGATTGGCCCTTATGGACACTTCCTGGTATCGAGCAGAGGCCCACAGGCAACTCTCAGATACCAAAACATACAGTGAGGTCAAGACGGTACCCTTGGATCATCTCTTCGAGCGACTAGACGCCTGGTGCACGGAATACGCTCACAGGTTCCCTAAGGAAACCGTGGAGTATATTCTGGAACCAAGAGTCGAGGATGCGAGGAATGAGTCTGAGCATTTCAGAGTATGCAAATTTTATTTGCTACCTAAGCTGCATAAGACGCCAGTTAAAGGGAGGCCAATATGTTCGTCGACACTCTGGATCTTTGAGCATGCCAGCCAGGTCCTGGATCATTACATGCGTCCCCTGCTGGCGCTAGCGCCGGCACATCTACCTGACTCTATCTCCCTTTTGCACACGATGCGCACACTTCGCATACCCGCACATGCCATTTTCCTTACATACGATGTCGAAAGCCTGTACCCCTCCATACCAATGAAGCAGGGCTTGGAAGCCATAGAAGAAACAACAAGACGCTTTATACTGGCACAGGGTCTCCACCTGTACTCCGATCTAGGTATTTCAGCACAGCTGAGAGCCTGCACCGAGCTGCTCCGGCTAGTCATGACTGAAAACCACCTTCAGTTCGACGGCCGGTTCTACCGACAGATCAGAGGGACGGCAATGGGAACACCGGTGGCTGTTATATACGCCGTGTTGTTTATGAGTTGGCTAGAGGGTTTAGGGGCCTCCCCCCCTCAGGGGCCTAGGGAAGAGCCTGTAGCCGGCTCCTTGGTATGCCAGGGATGCTGGGCTGTCGAGAGCTGAGCTTGAACTCACCGCCGGGGTGTACCCGCCGCACCCCCTTAAAAGGGTGTAGTGCCCACTGCAAGGCAGGCCCATTGCCTATTACTGCTTTACACACAGCTTCGTTAGAACTCCTGGGCTAAGTGCCTGTTGAGGGGAGTGCGAAACTGGGTTGGGTGACCTCCTGGGCAAAAATCCGGGAGGGGGCAGTAATGAAAAGGAGGGCGAGTGAAGCTCGAAATGGCTAAGCTGAGGCGTGCCTATAGCCTCTAGGGTCCCGGATACTCTTCCGGGGGGAGCTGCAGCTCTGGCTGTTTGCATTAAATAAACCCTAAACCTGCCTCTAGACCCCCCCCTCAGGGGCCTAGGGAAGAGCCTGTAGCCGGCTCCTTGGTATGCCAGGGATGCTGGGCTGTCGAGAGCTGAGCTTGAACTCACCGCCGGGGTGTACCCGCCGCACCCCCTTAAAAGGGTGTAGTGCCCACTGCAAGGCAGGCCCATTGCCTATTACTGCTTTACACACAGCTTCGTTAGAACTCCTGGGCATTTTTTAGTGTGATAGCCCCACCCACCCCATCGCAGAACAGCCAACACCCCCTATTGGCAACGGGGCATGGACCAGAAAACGCCGCAAATCAGAGGTACGCACTCGACTCCCCACACTCTTGCCACTCACACGCAAACCCACCAAGCTCGCATTCACAGAGAGCGGCACCATGCAGCCCTGAAAATTTCCATCCAAGCACCGCTAGCACCCAACAGTCAGTACCACTCACTACCCCCTTGCTCTCTCACGACGCACCCACCCAGTGTCCCACATACGCACCGACAGTCCTCCAAAAAGATAACCAACAGGCCACAACCCCAAGAGGCATCAAACCAAACCGCTCGAGACCAAGGAAAAAGAACACTGCATCACACCAGTGTCTGGCAGCTAAACAACTGCTTCGTAGCAGTATGCTCACGATCCAAGACAGCATAGGCTCAAAATTCATACATAATAAATCCGCTCGTGCGCTATCGCCTATGGAGGTAGACGGCCTAAGCCAGGGCCTAGCATTCATCCCAACGCCTGCTGCACCCACTGAACAGAGCATCGTGGCTGCGCTCGCACGTTTTTCGAGAAGTGTGAGATTGACATCACACTTCAAGTCCTGCAAACCAACGCCTCGCTTTCGTATTCGAAACCCTGGTTACCAGCCCAAGCGTGCGTCGGCTGATGTTGAGAGCTACATCGCAGAGGTGGAAGGTAAAATAGTTAAGAACCTTCCGCTAATGACGCGACAAGCCCGCAAAAACATGAGTGAGAGCACGCTACGGAGCCTGAAGAAACTAGGTAAGGATCCGAATATCATCATCAAGCCAGCAGATAAGAACCTAGGATTGGCCCTTATGGACACTTCCTGGTATCGAGCAGAGGCCCACAGGCAACTCTCAGATACCAAAACATACAGTGAGGTCAAGACGGTACCCTTGGATCATCTCTTCGAGCGACTAGACGCCTGGTGCACGGAATACGCTCACAGGTTCCCTAAGGAAACCGTGGAGTATATTCTGGAACCAAGAGTCGAGGATGCGAGGAATGAGTCTGAGCATTTCAGAGTATGCAAATTTTATTTGCTACCTAAGCTGCATAAGACGCCAGTTAAAGGGAGGCCAATATGTTCGTCGACACTCTGGATCTTTGAGCATGCCAGCCAGGTCCTGGATCATTACATGCGTCCCCTGCTGGCGCTAGCGCCGGCACATCTACCTGACTCTATCTCCCTTTTGCACACGATGCGCACACTTCGCATACCCGCACATGCCATTTTCCTTACATACGATGTCGAAAGCCTGTACCCCTCCATACCAATGAAGCAGGGCTTGGAAGCCATAGAAGAAACAACAAGACGCTTTATACTGGCACAGGGTCTCCACCTGTACTCCGATCTAGGTATTTCAGCACAGCTGAGAGCCTGCACCGAGCTGCTCCGGCTAGTCATGACTGAAAACCACCTTCAGTTCGACGGCCGGTTCTACCGACAGATCAGAGGGACGGCAATGGGAACACCGGTGGCTGTTATATACGCCGTGTTGTTTATGAGTTGGCTAGACACTCGAATGGAGGAGCTACACCCGGCCCTGTGTGAACATGTGCTGCTGCACAAGCGGTACATCGACGATGGGGTTGTGGTCTGGACGGGCTCGCTCGCGGACCTACACAGATGGATTGAGGGGTACAACAACCTACTAGAGGGCATCTCCATCACGACTGAGATCAGCACGACCACATTCACACTCCTCGACATCACCTTCCGGAAAGGTACGCTGTGGGAGACGACCGGGAAGGAAAATGTGCAAGGGGGGTTCTTGGACACCTCGGTGTACCAAAAACCTCTCAATGCGTATCAGTACTTTCCGTTCCGATCGGCACACCCTCGACACTGCAAGCGGGGCTTCATTATTGGTGAGCTATATCGCTACCTCTTGAGGGAGTCTTCTGAGGATGGCTTTCAGCAGATGAAGTCCCGTTTTGCAGCTCGGTTACAAGCACGCGGGTACCACGCTACCTTTATGAAAAGGAGGGCGAGTGAAGCTCGAAATGGCTAAGCTGAGGCGTGCCTATAGCCTCTAGGGTCCCGGATACTCTTCCGGGGGGAGCTGCAGCTCTGGCTGTTTGCATTAAATAAACCCTAAACCTGCCTCTAGACCCCCCCCTCAGGGGCCTAGGGAAGAGCCTGTAGCCGGCTCCTTGGTATGCCAGGGATGCTGGGCTGTCGAGAGCTGAGCTTGAACTCACCGCCGGGGTGTACCCGCCGCACCCCCTTAAAAGGGTGT